GAACAGATTGGTTGCCATTGGTTGCTGAAGGTTATTTGCTGTTTCCAGGTGAAACTGCTCGTGCTAAAAGCCCTCCTGCACTTTGGTTGGTAGCAGGTTGTCACAGTTGTCCGCAGTGTGTATGGAAGACGCCGACTTGTCTGCAAACACTCGCCAACTACTCGCTGAGCGGACGGGAAACGGTGCTATGCAAACTGGACACACAGTGTTCACCTTCAAAGTAAAAGTTGTGTCTCTTGAAATGTGTTGGTTTCAGAATGAGGCCAGCTTTGACTTTGAAGGCAAATGTATTTTATTAAAATGTGGTCTCCTGCCATTGGTCCATTGTCAAACTGACGACTGGGATTGTATAAAAGAGTCGCTGGTGGGAAGCTCTGCTGCCGGGTGGTTTTCAGAAACATGATGATAAAAATAAACAAAAAGTGAAGCTTGCAGCAGGATGAAGGCACGTCACCCTGCAGGATAAATCAGGTTTAAGACAGTAATGTGCTGTAGGTGTGATGGAGCTGGCAGGTGAGCACAAGAGGAGGCGATGCCCTGCAGGTAGGGTAGGTTAAGGCGGCGTTCTGCTGGGCACCAGCCGACCTACTTAGAAGCGATAACTAACCTTTGATACACGACGAAAACAAAAACTTCTCGGGCAGGTCCTGAATCGCTCTCTGGCCTGTTTGCTCTGTAATTATGTGGAAACGATGTAATAAGTTGGGTCAGGAATGAAAATGTTCATCAGCATGTGGCTAAAAGGGAGCAGATGTTGTAACTCTGCATGACTACAGCAGGAATGCAAACGATTCACAACGTGTCTGAGCATCTCACGGTTTTTAGGATTTGTTTTCTCATGATAATGAAGATGGTCACTGAATTTTAGGCCATGCAAGGTTTCCTTTCCAAACCTTTATTAAACCTGGAAGTGAAACTCTTCAGGTGAAGGGTCTTTTCGCAGCTTAGCTGAGAGAACCAACCTGTTTTGAAGACGAGTGTTTATGACCTGCAGTACTTTTGCTTCGGTTCTCTAAACGTCAGAATCTTCCCACGTCGGCACGCGATCCGAGGACCAACGGTTCGTTTGTTTCCCATCCTGCGACTCCTTCATGCATGCGCTGTTTGAACAAAGGGTGACGCGGAGCAGAAGCAATCCTTCGATTTCCAAAAGGCTGCGTCGCTCAGCCCGATGAAAAATGTGTTCCAGCTGCAAAAAGTGAGTCTCACAAAGCACCGGACTTACTCCAAAGTTTTTACTCAGTCCATTCATGTTCCACATCTTTGAGTTGCTGCATAAAATCCATTACTTGAATTATTTGGTGTAAATCGCTGCAGGGCTAAAATTATGTGTCCATTTTGCTGATTGTGCACTTTTCTGAAATAACTCACAGACTCACTGCACGTTTTGACCTGATGCAGTTGGTGAGCTCTCAGCTTCTTATGTAGGTAAGCGATTCTGTGACCCAGGATCCCAGTAATCAGACCAGTTCACGACCCAGTTCAGGTCGTCAGGTCCGGCTGGAATAAACACTTTTAGGTCTCCAAGCAAACTGGGGGACTTTTCTACTTCATACGACTCAAGTGCAGCAGAGGAAGAACAAAGTGTTGACTTGATCACAGTTTGTGATATTTAAAAGTAAGAACTGTTGACCGTCCCAGTGACAAACTGACAAAACCAGAGCCGTGGTTTCCATTTTCACGTTTAAAAGAGGTTTAGGCTCAACGTTCAGCCTTGGATTCAGAGAGCAGCGTGGGTTACTCCCCGTCGATGAACCAGCTTTAGAACTCTTTATCTTTACTAGGAGCTGCAGGAGTCTGAGCTTTCAGATCTTTCATCTTTCCAGAGGGGGAGCTGTGTCCATGTCCTCAGCACCATGTCAGCACACTTTCAGAGATCAGGGTTTCCCCTCGTCTGTATATTCATGGCTGAATGTAAAGAGCTCCTGTTGGTCAGTGCTCATATTACATTTCCAAAGTTTCAACTCAGGAGGTTCTGCAGCTAATCATTTTTTTCTACTCTTGGTCACCGAGGGGAGATTTCCCTTATGCTGTCATCGCAGACACATGGAAACTCCGCCCTCCTGTTAGTGAAGAGCAGCCAATCAGGAGAGGAGCTGACTAAGATCCAGTGTTGGGAAGGTTACTTTTAAAATG